TCCCACATTTTACGTCTCATTTGGGCCCTTGTACATGTACAGCTGAGACTACTAAAGTAGCCAGTCAAGCTCGTCCCAGAAGACTCCTGATGTCTTCAAAGACTTCACGGAGCAACCTCACCGTTCCGAGGATTTGATGGGACTTTCTTTCCCACATTTTACGTCTCATTTGGGCCCTTGTACATGTACAGCTGAGACTACTAAAGTAGCCAGTCAAGCTCGTCCCAGAAGACTCCTGATGTCTTCAAAGACTTCACGGAGCAACCTCACCGTTCCGAGGATTTGATGGGACTTTCTTTCCCACATTTTACGTCTCATTTGGGCCCTTGTACATGTACAGCTGAGACTACTTAAGTAGCCAGTCAAGCTCGTCCCAGAAGACTCCTGATGTCTTCAAAGACTTCACGGAGCAACCTCACCGTTCCGAGGATTTGATGGGACTTTCTTTCCCACATTTTACGTCTCATTTGGGCCCTTGTACATGTACAGCTGAGACTACTAAAGTAGCCAGTCAAGCTCGTCCCAGAAGACTCCTGATGTCTTCAAAGACTTCACGGAGCAACCTCACCGTTCCGAGGATTTGATGGGACTTTCTTTCCCACATTTTACGTCTCATTTGGGCCCTTGTACATGTACAGCTGAGACTACTAAAGTAGCCAGTCAAGCTCGTCCCAGAAGACTCCTGATGTCTTCAAAGACTTCACGGAGCAACCTCACCGTTCCGAGGATTTGATGGGACTTTCTTTCCCACATTTTACGTCTCATTTGGGCCCTTGTACATGTACAGCTGAGACTACTTAAGTAGCCAGTCAAGCTCGTCCCAGAAGACTCCTGATGTCTTCAAAGACTTCACGGAGCAACCTCACCGTTCCGAGGATTTGATGGGACTTTCTTTCCCACATTTTACGTCTCATTTGGGCCCTTGTACATGTACAGCTGAGACTACTTAAGTAGCCAGTCAAGCTCGTCCCAGAAGACTCCTGATGTCTTCAAAGACTTCACGGAGCAACCTCACCGTTCCGAGGATTTGATGGGACTTTCTTTCCCACATTTTACGTCTCATTTGGGCCCTTGTACATGTACAGCTGAGACTACTTAAGTAGCCAGTCAAGCTCGTCCCAGAAGACTCCTGATGTCTTCAAAGACTTCACGGAGCAACCTCACCGTTCCGAGGATTTGATGGGACTTTCTTTCCCACATTTTACGTCTCATTTGGGCCCTTGTACATGTACAGCTGAGACTACTTAAGTAGCCAGTCAAGCTCGTCCCAGAAGACTCCTGATGTCTTCAAAGACTTCACGGAGCAACCTCACCGTTCCGAGGATTTGATGGGACTTTCTTTCCCACATTTTACGTCTCATTTGGGCCCTTGTACATGTACAGCTGAGACTACTAAAGTAGCCAGTCAAGCTCGTCCCAGAAGACTCCTGATGTCTTCAAAGACTTCACGGAGCAACCTCACCGTTCCGAGGATTTGATGGGACTTTCTTTCCCACATTTTACGTCTCATTTGGGCCCTTGTACATGTACAGCTGAGACTACTTAAGTAGCCAGTCAAGCTCGTCCCAGAAGACTCCTGATGTCTTCAAAGACTTCACGGAGCAACCTCACCGTTCCGAGGATTTGATGGGACTTTCTTTCCCACATTTTACGTCTCATTTGGGCCCTTGTACATGTACAGCTGAGACTACTTAAGTAGCCAGTCAAGCTCGTCCCAGAAGACTCCTGATGTCTTCAAAGACTTCACGGAGCAACCTCACCGTTCCGAGGATTTGATGGGACTTTCTTTCCCACATTTTACGTCTCATTTGGGCCCTTGTACATGTACAGCTGAGACTACTAAAGTAGCCAGTCAAGCTCGTCCCAGAAGACTCCTGATGTCTTCAAAGACTTCACGGAGTAACCTCACCGTTCCGAGGATTTGATGGGACTTTGTTTTCCATATTAAGCCTATCATTTGGGCCGTTGTGCGTGTAGAGCCGATACTACTAAAGTAGCCAACCAAGCTTCTCCCAGAGGCTCTTTCTCTGTGAAGACTCACAGGCTTCACGGAACGGCGACCTCACTGTTCCTAGGATATGGTGGGACTTGGTTTTTTGTATCTCATTTGGGCCGTTATGCGTGTGAGCTGAGACTACTAAACAGATTAATTTAATTACATAAAAAACCTTGTTACTAATAGTAATTAACGTCGTTTCAATAATTAACTATGACAGAGACAATCAGCTGTTAAAAGCTGAGTGTACATGCCTTCAAATTTCTTGATTACTGATGCATACTCTAAAGGTCGTAATTTCTTTAATTTTATCTCAATTCTCGTCTCCAATCTTTTTCTTTTTGCTTTGTCGCCCTTTTATTATAATGGTCACGACACTGGTTAATATAACAATCTAGAAATAATTGTGGAAGAATTTTTCCTGTTTTATATTTGAAGAACTATAGATAAATTTATTTATAAATTATAAAATTTATAAATTTCAAGCAGGCAATTTATATTTGTAACTAATTCTACGATGATGGAAGCGTTGTCGCTACTTTCATAAACGAACTGCAGACTCTTGTATCAGGTGTGTGTGAAATTATCGGTATAAAAGGTAAATTTAGAGTAACCGAACGTTGGTAATGGTAAAAGGTATATAAGCTCAAATATTTAAAAGGTTTTGAGGGTAAAGTGACTGTCACGAACTAACATGAAGCTCATGGAATGTCTCTCTAATTTATTTATTTAGGACATCCAGTGAAATGACAATAAAACGTTTAAATATAACTAAATGATCTAAGGTAGACTACGTTTACGTGGGTATATCTGTCCCACTTATAGAAATAGAAATAATCACTTTTGGATAGATAGTTTTTATTCTACCACTCATTCGGAACGCAGACTCATCACTAGAAGAAAGAGCTAGAAACTTGCGTGTGCTGTTTTAAATAAATGTCTTAATCATTTTCTATTAATTATAACTATTTTTATTTATATATTAGCTGTTCCTGCGATTTCGTCCGCGTGTAAGTTAACTTAATTTTTCGAAAATTAAAACATTTTTTTATATTAAAAGTAGCTTAAGTTACTCGTTATTACATTAGCTACCTACCTATGAAAGTCCGTCAAAATCGGTCCAGCCATTTCAGAGATTAGCCAGAACAAACAGACAGACATACTGACAAAAATTGTAAAAAATGTTATTTTGGTGTATGTGCCGTATTTATATTCATATGCGTGTAGTAAAAATCGGTTATTTCAATATTACAAATAGAAACAGCAATATTATTTATATGTATAGATATCGATTACAAACAAAATCGTGGGAGCGTATCCAAGATACTGGTAACGGTGCCTTTTTGAATGCTCTATTTATAATAATGTTGATCATGGCATAACGAGATATTCGATCAGCATTTCTCATGCAAGAGAGACCATGGTGTCCTTGCTAGTCAAAGTTAGCAACACAATTACAGCGATCACTTTCTGAAATTTCAATATCTTTTTCACACACTTCCGCCTTATGGGATGGCATATTGTAATGTGATATTCATAGTACTGTTCATGTACATAGGCGACGATTACCACTTACCATCGGGTGGACCGTCAGCTTGTTCGAAATTCAAATTCAAAAATAATTTATTCATGTAGCAAATTTTAGCCGCTTATGAGCTACCGTCCAGTTAAGCATACAGATTCAATTGACTAGAACTGGCAAGAAACACAATTGAATATCTTATTTTATTTTATTTAAAAGCCAGTTTATTTATATAGGTGTCTATGTCTAACATTAAACGGAAAATCCGTGCATGAATAACTATTGTTGTTTTTTATATTGTAACATTGTTAAAAAGCATTGAATAAATCTTTTTTCTTTCTTTCTTTCTATTGCCTAGCACGCTCGTCATTCAAGTAATTGTTTAGTGAGTAATAGGCTTTGCTTTTTGCAATATGATATTAGGAAATGCCACTGCACATCCTATGTGGCTGTAGTCTTCTTATCCGGTGAAGCTGTAAAGGCCAGCTGTGGCCAACAGCATTAGAGTAGTCCGAAAAAAGAAACTTACGCATAAATATCTTCTTTGGAAAGTATACGCTATATCCTAAGGAGATTAAAACCATCGCTGCTAAGAATATCCTTCAATTCTTGTCCCTTACTGGTCTAAGTAGCGAGCTTTGACTAAGGGCGAGCACAATAGATCTATACAGGTCGCAGTGTTACACATAGCACCTGATAATAGCTCAAACCCCCCAATAAAGAAAAAATAGTCAATATGATTTAACAGATGTTTTGAATTGATTTATTTGCCATTCTTTCTTCTTTGCATTATCTCAATTTATATAGAGTCAGGTCTCCTAATTTTGCGGCGGCAGGACAATCTGCCCTAGGTTGTTGGGTCGGGCAAATTTTCCTTTGAGATGAGATTTTTCAGTGCTGGTACACCAGGTAGCTGGAGGACGTCCTCTACGTCTTTAATATTCGGGTAGTTGTTAAACTTTTTTGACCGCATATACATAGGCATGCTATTTAAGAGGGCTTTCAGTGACTTTTTCTGTTATTGGGGCCACTTTTAAAGTACCGCGGATGTATTTCGCACTCTATCTAGTCTCCTAGATAAAATAAGGAATAAAGAAGTGCTTGAAAGGGTTAAAGATAAGAGACAGATCATAGATATTATTGAGAATAGGCGGGGAAAAATGTTGGGGCACTTGATACGACACGACGAACTAATTAACAACATTATAGAAGGAAAAATAGATGGAAAGAGAGGAAGGGGAAGACCAAGACACAGCTATATCAAGCAAGTTAAAGAAAAAGTTGGAGTCGTGTCGTATCAACAGCTAAAAGGTCTGATAGAAGATCATGGAAGGTGGCGGGAGCTCCACCGACAAGAGCACAGCTTTTAAATTATGAATGCATGAATCTAGTCTCGTGACTCCACCTACATAAAAGGAGTAATTTCTCAATTTTTGCTATAATTTTCTTAAGTAAAACCTAAAATACTTTTTTTGTCTGCAGGCGGATGGGCGTCACCAATCTCCCAAAATCACGTCGCCTCGACAGTCTCCTGAACACGCCACAGGTAATCAATTAATATCTCAGGATAGATAATATTTTAAGGAAGGTGTTGCATATGCAACTGACAATATTATCCGTCATACTCGAGAACGGGTGCTGCTTGCGCGGACTGGTGTATTCGGGTTACGAACACTGATTAGACTATTTGCTTTTGCAATAGCATATGCTGGTGGTCACTCTATTCTCTCAAAGTTGAATTTAAAAACGAATCTGTTTTGTTGTAAACATGTACAACAACTATTTGAAAAGAATACGAGCTGACTTTCTTGTCAGTTCTTCTCATCTCGATATCATTCCAAACTGACGGTAGATTTGAAACATCATAAGAGTCTGTAATAGACCTACATCAATAAAAATATTTTGAATTTGAAATTAGAATATGAATGTGGATGGTTATAAGGGCAGAGGAAGAGATGGTTAGACTGTGTGAAAAATGACATCTATATATAAAAATCGGTCCAGCCATTTCAGATATTAGCCGAAACAAACAGAAAGACAGACAAAAATTGTAAAAAATGTTATTTTTGAGTATGTGCCGTATTTATATTCATACGCATGTAGTAAAAAACGATTATTTCAATGTTGCAAACAGACACTCCATTTTTATTTATGTGTATAGTTAAATAAATGTTTAACTGAAAATCCCATTCCAACTAAACTATCTATCATCAACAACGTTATAATAAAATTGTTTAGTGTTATTTTAATTTTACTATATTATTAAAGATTATATCCAGTGGGAGTACAATACGATATAATAAGTTCCTTATTTATTCAATCAACAGCTGTTCCCATTTCGATGTTTATGGCATCCATATTTTGGGAATGAACTTGGCATCGAATATTTTTATTCTTCCATCGGAAATTCGAATCTTAAAAAAACATACTTTTGTACAGCTAAATTTCTGAACTATCATAATTTTTAGGTGGCATTCAAGCATATATAGTACTAGCTACTCGCCCCGCCTTCGTACGGGTGTACATATCTTATATATATATTTATATATATAAACCTTCCTCTAGAATCACTCTATCTATTAAAAAAACCGCTTCAAAATCCGTTGCGTAGTTGTAAATATTTAAGCATACATAGGGACAGACAGCAACAGCGACTTTGTTTTATGCTATGTAACTAGCTACTTATCCCGGCTTCGCACAGATATACATGTATTATAAATATAAACCTTCCTCTTGAGTCACTCTATCTGTTAAAAAAACCGCTTCAAAATCCGTTGCGTAGTCTTAAAGATTTAAGCATACATAGGGACTACAGACAGTAACAGCGACTATACTATGTAATGATTACAATCTTTTTTCTGGCAGATTGAGGTCAGACTCTGGCAGTTTCTTGTAAAACTGTTAAGCAATTTGCCTGCAGATTTTGCCAAACTGAAGAGGAAAGGCCGCTACACATCCTATGTGGTTGTATCCCACTCATGCATAAACGAAATATCTCCTTTGGAAAGTGTACTTTATCCTGAAGAGATAAAAACCATCGCTCCTTGGAATATCCTTCAATTCTTGTCCCTGACGAGTCTAGGTAGCGAACTTTGAAAAGGGCGAGCACGATAGATCTATATAGGTCGCAGTGCTACAGTTCTTACATCTGACAATAGCCCAACCACCTAATAAAAAAAAATTATACGTTCTTTTTTTTATAAAAAACGAGATTCTTTATTTGAAATTCTAAAACATAATTGTTTATAGAAAACCTGACAATAGTCCTCCCCCCCCCCTCTCAAAATATAGAAACAGGTAGTTTCCTTTTTTATTATGATTATTGGTAATTGTATGTTGCAGATCCAAACAGCAGTATGACTGTGGCCCGCGGCGAAGGCTCCCCTGAGCGAGTAGGGGGTGCCCTGCGTCGTCTGCATTATAAGGCGACAAGGCGTGCCCACTCCGCAGCCGCAAGGCATCACAGCACCACCTCCACTCCTAAGGTAAGTAAGTAGGAGCAGCAGTGGCCTTAACCATGACGAGGCGCCGGGCCTTGTTCTACATGAAAAGTGTGATGTAATCGATTGAGATTTAGTTGATTCCAACGCTATTCGATACGTATGGTTGAGGCAGGCCTAATTGTTTTGCATAAAAAATTTGCGTAGTTTTTTAGTATTTAAAACGGTAAAAAAAGCGTAAAAAATATATTTGATCATACACATACATATAGCAAATTGTCTTATTTTACTAATTTTCTATTCTGTTCTATTCTGTACTGTTCTGTTCTGTTCTGTTCTATTCTATTAATATTTTATTTCTATCTACAGTACACACAATCTTGCTAATATTATAAACGTGAAAGTTTGTAAGTATGAATGTGTAGACGGTTGGATGTTCGTTACTCTTTTACGCAAAACTACTGAACGGATTTTGATGAAACTTTACAGTAATATAGCTTACTCTGTGCCCGTGGTTTCACACGTTAAAATTCTATAAACTATATAGCCTATGTGTTAATCTGATGCATAAGCTATATTGCTGTAAAGTTTCGCCAAAATCAGTTCAGTAGTTTTTGCATGAAAGAGTAACAAACATCCATCAATACTCACAAACTATCGCATCTATAATATTAAGAAGATAAGATAATATAAATCATATTAATAAAGGATTTTCTGTTTTGTTCTATAATTTAAAATTAATATTCAAAAATCATTTATTCATGTAGGACTGCTTATGAACGTCAAATTTTTTGCATTATAATTTTAATTTTACCCTACCGTCCAGTTTGGTATATAGATCCAATTGAGAAGAACTGGCAAGAAACTCAATTGTATTACTTTTTTTATAAAGCCAGTTTATTTACAATGTATATTTATATAGGTGTCTATGTCTAACATTAAATGAAAATCCAGTGCATGAACGACTATTGCCATGCACGCTCGTCATTCAAGTAATCATTTAGTGAGTGAGGCTTTGCTCAGTAAATATGATTTAACTGTAACTTAATTCTTTATATATTTTTATAGCTATTCCCATAAAAGACCTATTGACTTTTTCTAATACTGAATAGAGAATTAAAACAAAGTGTCTGTCATAACGAGCTCTATATCTCGGATCTCATCATAGGGACATCGTAAAACGACTTATTAAAGTTGGTTCTAGGGAATTTAATAAGAGGATATATGAACCGCTATTAAGTCGCTACTTTCAATAGCAGGACGCATCCCGAGGATTGTGGAATCCTATTTACAGCTCTCCATGCGTATTTCAGACATTTTTTTAACAGAATATTCACATATATCATTGCTCAAGAAGGATATATCAAGGTTTTTTAAGTGACACGTGACATGTGACACTCTGGTGTTTCAGGCGATCACAGACTATAGTAACCGTTTACCATCAGACGGGCCGTATGCCATTACCACCATCGTACTATGTAAAAAAGAAAGTATACATATAAATAAAATTGGAGTGTCTGTTTGTAATGTTGTAATAACCGTTTTTTACTACATGCATATTAATATAAATACGGTACATAATCGTACACCAAAATAACATTTTTTACAATTTGTTGTCTGTCTGTCATGTTTGTTTGTTCCGGCTAATCTCTGTAATTGCTGGCCCAATTTTGACGGGACTTTTATTGGCAGGTAGATGATGTAATAAGGAGTGACTTAAGCTACTATTATTTTAGAAATATAAAGTTAAATTCCACGCGAGCGAAGTCGCGGGAATAGCTAGTTAATTATATGGGTCTTGCTCTCGCATATCGCCTGTTGATAGTCGCGGGTTCGATTCCTCGCACGGCACAAACATTTGTATTCATGAGTATGATTAATTGTATCGGTCTGGATGTTTTCTATGTATAATATGTATGTATTTACAAAAAAAATATGTGTATATGTATCAGTTATCTAGTACCCATAACACAAGCTTCAGCTAGCTTAACTTGGGTCTAGATGGCGCTGTGTGGATTGTCCTGAGATTATTATTATTATAATGATAAAGAGAAATATCTTAAACCTAAAAGAAACCTAAACTGCACTGTCTCATGCCGCATCAAAAATTAAAATTCAAAATATCTTTATTCATATAGGTCTATTACAGAATGTTATGATATGTCAAATCTACCGTCAGTTCGGAATGATTTCGATATGTGAAGAACTGACAAGAAACTGAGCTCATATATTTTTTTTAAATAAATGTTGTACTTATTTACAAAAATACAGATTCATTTAAATTCAAATTTGGGAGAGTAGAGTGACCACCAGCATATGCTATTGTACATCACTATCCTACATATCTTTTCCTTCCAATTTAGTAGACGTTTTCCCAATTTTTTTAATCATTAGATTTGGGATCTAAAGACAGATAAGGCATGGACCCAATTATTTCGAGGGTTCTAGAGACGCGCCCTTGACCTGTGGGGTTGTAACTCAAGTGTGTGGATCTGCTTAGTGTTTGGGTAGATATATAATTTGCAATTATCAACATCAAAGGTTTACTTAAGCTTGTTGTATTATTCACAACTAGATCAGACTTACTGAATATGCATATAAGATTTTATAAAAATCGGTCAAGCCGTTTTGGAGGAGTATGATAACTAACATTGTGACACAAGAATCTATACATATGATTAAAATTGGACTGTCTGTTTGTAATATTGAAATAACCGTTTTTTACTACATGCATATGAATATAAATACGGTACATACACAAAAATAACATTTTTTACAATTTCTGTCTGCCTGTCTGTTTGATCCGGCTAATCTCTGAAATGGCTGGACCGATTTTGACTGGACTTTTTTTAGCAGGTAGCTGATGTAATATGGAGTATATGTAATAACTTAGGCTACTTTTATTTTACAAAAATAAAGTCAATTTCCACGCGGACGAAGTCGTGGGAACAGCTAGTTTTATATATAAGATAATGTAATTTTTCTTTCTGCGAGGAGAACGATAAGGAGTTTTTCATTAATTAATTCAGATTTGAACTCACGATCCCTTGTAATTGAAACCACAAATCTACTAGGCAATAACGCTCTCAAATAAATAAGTTTGTTAAAAGTGCAAAATTTTATTAATAGTAATTCATTAATTTTGATTTGAAATCACGACCCTTTGAGTGTAATATAGACTCGTAATCAACTAGGCTACAATGCTCTCAATAGAAAGAAAATAAAGAAAGAAAAACATTTATTGACAATTATTATTTATATGAACATTTATACATTTTGACATTGGTACATTTAACATGTATATATATATGTATGCACACATACACACACAAATAAGTTTCAAAAAAGTGCATAATTTTATTAATTTCATTTTGAACTCACAACCTACTGGATGTAAAACAGAGCAGTAATCTACTAGGCTACAAAGCTCTCAAATAAATAAGTTTGCTAAAAGTGCAAGTGGTAAATGCAAGTTCAGACGCTTTAAGGTATTTCCTCCGCACGCAAACTTAGTTACAAAGTTCTCAAGTCTCCTTACTCAAAGATGATTAAGTGCGAAAGATCGTCACTTCCGGTTCAGCAGGAAATTAATTAGATTGTGGAATGAACTACCTGCCGAGGTTTTCTCTAGAGAGTACAGCATGGGGTTTTTCAAGAAGGGTATATCAAGGTTTCTTAAGGGTTGGCGCACGTGACACCCTGGTGTTTCAGACGGTCACAGACTATGGTAACCATTTACCATCAGACGGGCCGTATGCCATTACCACCACCGTACTATGTAAAAAAGAAATTAAATTGGAGCGTCTGTTTGTAATATTGAAATAACCGTTTTTTACTACATGCATATGAATATAAATACGGTACATACACCAAAATAACATTTTTTACTATTTTTATCTGTCTGTCTGTTTGTTCCGGCTAATCTCTGAAATGGCTGGACCGTTTTTGACGGGACTTTTATTGGCAGGTAGCTGATGTAATAAGGAGTAACTTAGTCTACTTTTATTTTAGAAACATAAAGTTAAATTCCACGCGTCCTAAGTCCAATGTACAGGTAGTAAAAAATAAATGAAATAATATATAAGTCAATAAAGATTTTCTATAAACAAATTAGTTTTTGAATTACAAATAAATAATTTCGATTTTTACTAAAAATAAATGAGGACCTATCTTAATTTTTATTTAATTACGGTTAAATTAAAAACACGCGACGAAGTCGCGGGAACAGCTAGTATTTCGTGTTTTCATACAGTCTTGGATTTTTTATACGATTGACCTATCTTTAGTTCATTCGTATAGAAAATCCAGGAGCCTATAAAAACATGAAATAGAATTACAAATGATTTTCCTGAATAAGGAAAAAATATCTTTATATTTATTGTAATAATAGAGTAAGGCAAGTAAAGCGGAACATAAAAACTTACGGTGATTTCAATTGAAAATATTCCTAACTCGCTTGGGTGAGGTCTCCCCTCTCTGATAGAATAGAATAGAATAGAAAATCCCTTATTCAAATAAACTTAATTTAAGCACTTTTGAATAGTCATAACATTTTTTTTAATCTACCGCTCATTCGGACAGCTGTCTCATCACAAGAAGAATCAGCAAGAAACTTGTGTGTTGCTATATATATATATATGTATACTAGCTTTTGCCCGCGGCTTCGCTCGCGTTAATTTATCCCCTTAGGGGTGGAATTTATCAAAATAATTTCACGTCATAGTAGCTTTATGCATGCAAAGTCTCAGCCCGATCGGTTTAAAATTGACAAAGTTTCATACAAACTTTCATCCCCTATTTTAGCCCTTTGGGGGTTTAGTTAATCAAAATCCTTTCTTAGCGGATGCCTAAGTCATAACATCTAACTGCATGCCGAATTTCAGCCCGATCCACCCAGTGGTTTGGACTGTGCGTTGATAGATCACTATGTCAGTCAGTCATCTTTGAGTTATATATATTTAGATTTGTTGTTTGGTACTTTTGGAATAATTACAATGTGCTCCTATAGAATATATGTATATATATATAGCTTTTTTATGGATGAT